GCCGAAAAGCATGACTGAAACTACCTTGCTTACTCAGATCAGAAATTTTGAATGCCTTCCATTTAGAATCTTGGAAAGGTGTTTTTTAGGAACTTTTAGTATTTTGAAACTAGTTTCCAACGGTGTAAAGTTTTCCAATTTTGACTTACTGAGTGCAAGATTTGATTTTTCTAAGTTTGGCATGCAAAACTGAAATTTGCCGATTTCTTAGAAAATACAATTTTGGGAACTTGATTTCTCATCTTGATATTGATATATCGTTTTGAACCCGATTTCGTGGAGGATATGCATTTCCTTAGTAACTTTAAATTCCTCACTTGTGAATCTTGACTTTCGATAAAGTGAAACTCTTATAAAGATGTTGAATTGAATTTTAAAGCAAGTGTGCATTCTTCCTTGTTTAATAAGGAATTTGTGAAAGTGTGAGAGTGATTGTTGGTCACTTTTTTTCAGGCGATCAAGAAGGTCTCGAAGAGAATCCCGAAGTGGATCATTAAAGACTTTCTTTACTCACTTATTTTGAATTGGTGAGTGTTCCTTATGTATTTAAGTGTTAAGTGCTACCTATAATTGCTCCTATGAAATTGTTCACCGTTTTAAGGCGAGTGTGTACTTTATCTCACTCGACCTACTAAAATGACAAATTTCTACCGTTTAACCGTAAATTTCTATCGTTAGCCGTGAACTACTACCATTTACCGATTTACTTGATTACTTGTGCATGTTGTAAACTCTAAGCTGAACTGGATCCTGCCCTTGGTTACTAACCTGCTCGAGCCATGATTGAACTCGGTCGGGTAGGTTGGAACCCTGGGCCACCGTTTTGGTATACTCAAGTATTACCACTGGAGGGATAAGGTGATGGCCAGACAACCGGGGGAATTACTGGAGTAATAAGGTGAAACTGACCGAAATGGTTCTACGTGAACACCGTATCCTTTTAATGAGTGTTTATTTCAATATAATGATAAATGTCTCATTTTAATGTGCCAATGTGAAACCTTAAACCATATATGTGTTATGATTAATTTACTTGATTTATTAGAACTGCTAGTGTGTTTTGGAACTTCACTTGGCTGTTTGGTTCATTCCACGCTTTTGTTTTCTTTAACAGGGTTCAAGACCGAGAGTGCTCGTGAATAGTACTAGGTTATTTTCTTTTGAAGATTTTAAGTTGTATTATAGCAGATGACTATAGTATATATTCTTTTGGGTTGTATTTAAACTTGAAGGTTATCTAATTTTAAGTATGAAATGTTTTAGAGTACTTTAATTATATATTGAAAATATTTGAAGTATTTCTAGCTTTTGAATTATGGATTGTAGTGAGCCCCAACTAGATACTAAGCACAATACCACTCAGTTCATTACCTTTCATTATCTAAACTTTTTGGACCTTCTATCAGTTTTCCACAATTGCATTATCCATCAAAAAAACTAAAACTAATTCTACATAAATATTGCTTGCATTTTTATTTATTGCAAAAAATAAAATTAAGTTTTGTAAACAAATTTCTTTAGAAACATTTTTTAATGTGCATCAATCACTTGGTTCATGTTAGGAATTAAAGGTGGGCCTTAATGGGCTCATTTAAAACGCGTGCATATTCAGCTTCACAGGTTTGCACCGTAATAATGATATGTATTAAAATAGCGGGCTGACTATGAGAACCCTTGGCCTCATTCCCTTTTGACTGATAAGTTTGACTTTTGACTGATATTATATGATACAATTACTTGTTATTTGAATATTATTATTGCTAGAGGTGGCAATTTGGATTGAGATCCATTTATCCATTCATATAATCTATAAATAAATTGATTTGGATTATCCATTTATAGTATTGGTTTTAAATGGTTAACCAAAATAAAACCATTAAACTAAATGGATTTATATGGATTATCCACAAAAATCACATATATCCATTTACTTAAAAATCAAATAAAAGAAATGGAAAGAAAATGACTAAAAATGGACCCTCGAAAACTGATTAATTATTGATCCAATACAAAGGCCCGCTGCTTTCTACTATGAAGAGCTTAATCTGTCGCAACCAATCGTTCCATTGTTTTTCACCTGAGCTATGCTGATGTAAGTGGCTCCACCAAATGCTGTGTTCCCCCCTCCCCCTCCCCCTCCCCCTCCCCCTTCCGCTATGAAGCAATGGATAAGCACACTGTAGGACTCAATTACGCTAATTATATTTGAGAACTTTGTCCCTCTTTCTTCTCTTTGAGAGGTGCAAATCACATAACTGCTGCCTGCAGTTTCCTTTACTGACCTAAGTTCTTAACATTTTGCAGCTGTTTGATAATGTATAAGAAAGTTGTAATACATACATGTTCAAAAATGATTTGATAGGATCTAAGTATTTTGTCCTCTTTCTCATCCAAATACACCTAAAATTTACAAGTACATAAAAAGTATCTTCATATTACAAGAAATGATAATACAAAAATAAAGTAACAAAATATTTAAATGGATTATAAATGGATAATTGTTTTTTATTTAATCCATTTAGATCCATCCATTTAGATCCATTTATTAAATGGATCTAAATGGATTGGATAAATTTCATCCACCATCCATTAAGTCAAAACCAATTATGAACCATTTATCCATATTGCCACCTCTAATTATTGCCCCCTTCTACTTGCAAAACCTAATTTTTTTTTTATTTGTGCTTCTGCTAAAAAATTATCTTAGCTCTACTACTACCCACAACAATGATCTTTGTAGCTAATATAATGTATACTTCCCGCTTTCTACAAAGATTAATATGAAATGCAGAGAATACTCATTTACTGATTAGCATATATGTTGGAGATCTACAATAGTTATGAGAAAGAAATAAAATGGAAAATAAAAAGATTAAGTTAAACTATTGATTTCCATTCGACGCTATGAATCAAAGCCAACACTTTAGATGGATTTGAATGAGAAAAATTTAATCATTAGTATTAAATGATTATCCAGTTTAACTCGTTAAAATGGCGGTTTTACGTGGATAATCCATGTAATCCAACTATATCCATTTGATAAGAAAAAAAATTCTAACACGAAACAAATTAAGATGTGCTTTAAACAAGAAATATTCGAAGTGATACATTTTACTTCTGTTGTTCGGCAACTACTTCAGGTTTTTCTGAATTGAAGAACGAATATTACTTTAAATTGTAAGAGGAGCATATCACTACAAATTTGGGTTCATTGGTATAGGTTTCAACAAACCATTGTAAGGAAGGCATCTTATCTATACTGGCAAAGACCAAAGGAAAACTAAACCTGTAAAATCAACCATAAAGATCAACTTTACCAAGGCATATAACAATATGAAATTTTCATATTAATTTAAGAACTTTAGACAAACTCGAATGTCATTATTTGTCAGCTCTTATTAAACCACAAGCAAAGCTGTATCTATCCTATGGCAGAATCCTCACAAGCCTAAAAACATTGTAGGCATTAATGCTAAATTCATACCCCCATGAGGAATGATGCAAATTCCCGTGAGCGCTATATTCTTGTCCTATATTCTTGAGGAACCAGAAGGGGGAAGCTGGAAGCCTCCTGATTTGTGAGGCACAGGATTACAATTTACAAACATGAATATCAGAACCATCCATGATGCAAAGGATGCCGTTGATAGGACCAGTTACTTGAATCAGTGGATCACTGTACCTCCAGATCGTGGGGCTATACCCAGTGAAGGTATTGAATTCGGGGCACACCAGGATTCGTTAACACTTCTGAATTGCATCAATGATTTCAGAGAAAATCGTAGCAGAATCTTTGTCAATACATCTGTAGGTATATAATTTAAAGTGTTGATCATCTCCAGGTTGTGAATTCGTTGCCTTTTATCTGGCCTAATAAAATCCATGTTGTGACCTTTTAACTCGTTGCCTTGAATCAAGAAGCAGAATTGGAACGAACTGCGATTATATGTATAGGGGCCAGGCTACATGCTTCAGTTTATAATTGGTTTCAATGCTGATTAAGAATCAGTGTTTAACCTGGATTCTATATACATTTATGTACTTACTGTTACAAGACAAGACTCCAAGTTTAAAGATCAGAAACATCATGAATAAATCTCAATGGTTAATGGTTCATGATCTTGGACACTGCAATTCTGAGAAATGAGACATAGTACCTTTTAAGTATTATTTATCCGTGAAAAAGGGACAATGAATAAGAATGATAATATATATTAAGTTAGAAACTACAAACAAAATTTTAAAAAAAAAGTACCTTGATGAAATGGATAATTTTCGCAACTTTCAAGAAGAATAACTTACCAATTTCATATTAGTATTACAAGGTTGAAACCTTCTGACTTTTCAAAACCCTCCAAAATATGACTCTTCACTACATCACCCGAAGCAAGCCATGGTATCCAACTTGGCTACTCAAGTTGTCGGCTCAAATTTGGCCAGACGGATTCTGCGGTGTTTTGAGGCTTATAACATTGCATAACCGTTCATGCCATGTTTGATCCAAATTGAGTTGCCCAATGTATAATTGGAGACAATTAGGTGTTTATGGTGAGGAAGAGTGAATAAACTATACTAATAAGAAATTCCACGAATAAATCTCCAAATGTAATAGAAGAAGTATGATTGTGGCATCGTTGATTAGAGTTACATGTAGTTTATAAGCTTTTTAAAAATGGTTGTAGTTTAATCATGCAAATGGTGTCATAGAGATAATAGATAGTGGTAAACCAAGCAAAGATGTCTTCTCCTGACTGAATATATCTTGCAAAGGTTATGTAATGAATAAGTTTATGCATATGTTCAACTTTCAAAAAAAAAAAAATTGTGCAGCTCAATTCAAAATCGCTAGCGATTAACAAGAATGTCCGCTTGTACATGGGGGCTATTTTGTCAACTAGAACACACTGCAGTACAAGCAGATTTTTCATTCTTAGGAAGATTTGGAAATGCGAAACACAATTCCTTGATATTTCCTTCCAGAATTAGCCCTATTTCTTCCTTCATCTGGCATATGGTTCAGTAATTGATGCCTCATTTAGAGAGCTTGGAGCTGAATTTCTTTCGGCATTAGATTGATCAACTTTCAGCTCCACCACCCTGCTTTCCGATCCTTGGCTCCGGAAAACTGCCGGACAATGTAGAGTAGGTAGGGTAACAGAACTATTATTGAGCATTTGGACCACGGATGCCATTGTAGGTCTTTTGCTGACAACTTCTTCAACACATACTAAACCTACTTGGACACATTGAATGACTTCACTTTTGATATAAGAATCTCCAACACTTGAATCCAAAAGAGCTAAAGGATCGCCGTTTCTCCAATGCTTCCAAGCCTTTTGAAATAATCCCACGTATAAGGAGTTCAGACTTAAAAACTGCAATTTGCTCAAGCATATCTAGTTTCACAAGTGATATCCAGCTTTACATATTAGTTTGTCCTATGAATAATGTCACCTTTCCAATAGGCATTAGTCAATACCATATATTCCCGGATTAACCTTGCTAAAGATTTCGAATTAACCTTCCTTTCCATCCTTTTCTATGGACTGCCATTTTTAGTGTAGTGTACCAATTCTTACGTTACCTCCTAAAGTATTTTTTGTGTCACTTAACCTTTGAAAAACATAACTACTCCTCTATTGCTTTTCACTTCTTTCTTTTCTCAATTAAACTTAACCTATAATTCAATTTGGATCAATCTAATTCATAGTGGCAACATATCAACCGAGAGAAGTACATTTATTAAAGAATATATTAATATTTGATTAATTTTTTTAAATTAGTAAAGAAAAGAATCTAATTACAAAAAATCCATAAGAGAAAAAAGAATAAAATAATGTCCAAATAATCAGCATGTGAACGTGATTGTCAATTTGTCTAATTATGAGGATATAGATTAAAAATTTTTCCTTTTGATTTCTTAGATTGAAAATGGATGAAATTAATTAGAATGTAATTGATTGGTAATTGAATAATTATATATATATATATATAAAGTCATAATAAAACATATATTCAATTATGATTCTACTTTTTGACAAATACAAAAAAATTTTTACAGAGGAATTCTTGACTTTTCTCAAAAATAAGAATTTGAAAAAAGAAAGTGAAGTTGACAGAAAAAAACAAAAGAGAAGAAAAAAATCAACATAATAAGAGTATAGTTTTGTTCAGTAGGAAGGTTAACTGACACAAAGGTTAGGAGATAACCTAAGAATTAGGTATACGTTAGAGAGATATATCGCGAGTGCAACATACAAATGACACAACGGGTGGCAAATATGACAAGTCCCAATGGAGATCTAGAGATGTACATGGAACACAAACAGATATATATGTATTTACTTAGGGCAGGTAGCTCATGAACTACTGTTCCAATTTGGTCTCGCGCATGCAGAAAAGCAATTGCAGCTTTAGGTAATCTTTAGAGTAACAAACAAGCAAAGAAGTTGAAATTTAGGCGTGCCAAGGTCAAATCTCCAATCCAATTGTGCAAAACCACAGAAAAAAAGTAAAACTCAGCAGAGATTTTGTAATCTGTACTTACATAGCTTAGAAGGCCTTCAGAATCTTCAGATACGTTGAAGCTCCTGTTCTTCTTGCCTGTGATAATTTCCAAAATTACAACCCCAAGGCTGAATACATCTGACTTTACGGAGAACTGGCCACACCTTGTGTATTCGGGAGCCATGTAACCACTACAAGCCACAAAGATTGTTATAATTGGTATTAAGGCATCACTAATGAGGCAATGAAATGTGTTTTCCATGAAAGATACAAAGTCATATTATGTGAGAAACGATGGTGTGGAGCAAAACTTACAATGTCCCAGCAATTCTATTTGTGTTTCCTACAGATTGATCAACTCCACAAATCTTTGCCATGCCAAAATCTGCTATCTTTGGACTCATATTTCCATCCAACAATATATTGCTTGCTTTGAGATCGCGATGAACAATTCTAAGACGAGAGTCCTCGTGCAGATAGAGGAGTCCTCTTGCTATACCTCCAATGATCTTGTAACGTCTTGACCAGTTCAGTGATCGTTTCTTTTCTGAATCTTTACTATCTTAAACACAATATTCTTTGTTAGAACTGAAAAATACTAAATCAATGGTTTCTCACAATCAAACACCTGTCAAGAGCCAATTTGTTACCTGCCATTTGCTAAGATGGTGGACTTAAGTAACATAGAAGAAGGTCAAACAAAAAACCAAACACTAGAACAAGCATTTCTAGACTAAAACTCACCAAAGAGGAAGTAGTCAAGGCTTCTATTGGGAACAAATTCATAGATGAGTATCTTTTCTTCCCCTTCCAAGCAAAATCCCAATAGTCGAACTAGATTTCTGTGTTGAAGCTTTGCGACCACTACAATTTCATTTTTAAATTCTTCTGCACCTTGCCCTGAGCTTCTTGACAGCCTCTTTACTGCTACCTCTTGTCCATTAGCAAGTACACCCTGAAGATATATGCATAGTAAGATGTGATTGAAAATTTGAAAGTTTAGATATTAACATTCAGAATCACTTATATTTCATATAGGGACCTTGTATACACGACCAAATCCACCTTCGCCAATTTTGTTATCCACAGAGAAGTTATTTGTGGCAATTTGAATTTCAGTTAAGCTATACTGTAAGGATTCGGCAGTTAGGATTTCAGCAACTCCATCTACACCAGGGATAAGCAAATATACTCAATTTATTAGTTCAAAAATCTCTGAGGTTTCCTGTAATTGCAATCAATAAACATTACCAGTTGCCCCCTGCTGTGCCATTGCAGCATATCTCTTCCCTGATCTTCTTTTCAGGAAGACTAAAGTCATGATAAATAGCACAAAAGCAACCCCGATTAGTGGGACAGCAATTGGAAAAGCTGCTCGTAGGGGTCTTCGGCGTTTGCCTGGATTAAAGGAAGTTTAATTTACTTCAAAAGTCAGCTCATAGGAGATCAAGTTTGCTGAATTTTGGGTTAGTGTAACTCCGAGACAGCCCATTACATGGACGGATAGCTATGCAAGAATACATTATTTGAAAAAATATTCTTTGAGTATCCTTTAAAGTTTTTCACCACCTTTTCGTCTCACATACTCCATATTGGCAGTAAATAAAAAAAAATTTGACAATCAATTTTCAATCCTAGCATACTAATTGTTCTAGTTATGGATTAATAGAATTAAACTCCCCTGTGGCTTCAGTAATTTACAAATTTAGCTCTGTGTTTGGACCAAATTACAACTACGCTTGTAAATGAGGCTGTCCAGACCCAACCGTTGGATATAATCAAATGATAACAATGCCCTACTTTAAAAAGACTTGGAAAATAAAAACCAAAATAAATGGGATAGCATTTTAGGGCACAAGAATTGCTAGCAAAAAAAGCCGAAGATAATTAATTACTAAATTTAGAAAAGCAGGGTGGCAAATAAGCAAATAGGTGCTTCCCCCAGAAGAACAAGAAAGTACGTATCAGAATAGAACGAGATCAAAGACAAAGAAGTGGAGAAGAAACATTAAAGATAAAGTAAAGGAAGATGCACCAATACTAAGAAGAAGGAAATACAAGATAACCAAACCAACGGTGTGGAAAGGTGAAATAAAATGAGAAAAAAAATGAAGATGAAGAAGAAGAAGAAAGCACCCTTTTCATCTCAAACCTTATTTACTCCATTTCAGATCTATTACAACTGCCACTGCAATCACCATAACCACCTCCTAATTTTAACGTACCTACTCCTATTCAATTCCCTCGAGACTGGTATCACCAAGTCATTTTCTCCTTTCTACTTTTTCCTTCGCTTCATAAGCATACCGACATACATACATACGCGCATCACGAGTATATACATACATATATGGTATTATAGTTGTGGAATTTGAACATATGTTATGGTAATGCTGGTAGAGGAGATTTGGGCTTTTTTGTTTCCTTAGAAGGAAAGGTAATGTAGTTTTTGAAAGGAAAACTTGTTCAAAATATTTTTCACATTTCGTTTAATGAATTTTTTTTGTTATTCACTTTTAAAATTGTAACTTTACATCCCTTATAAAATCAAATCGACAAAAATTTGGTCTCAACTTAAATTTTTTGATAGTTTCTTATCCTGAATCAATTACATGATCTACACAAGATCTTTTTTTTGGGCAAAAAAGTGAGACCCATCTGTAATTAAATAATCGACTCGATCTATATCTTTTTTTGTCTTTAAAAATATAGGATTTGATTCAAACTGTATTCATTTTTTTCTAAAAAAGTGAGATGTTTTGCCATTTGAAAAATAAAATTTGACCCTTTTGTGCATAAAAAAATTATTGCATGTTAGTCATGGAGTAATTTCAAGCTAAAAAATGATCGAAAATTTAGATTAAAATCAAATTTAACTAACTTGACCTTGTAAGGAACATAAAATTAAGATTTTAAAAATAAGTGACGAAAAAAGTCATTTGATAAAATATAATAATCATTTTAAATGATTTTCTCTTTTTGAAAACTTAATGTACGGCAGAGTTTAACAGTCTAAAATTGTGCTCTAAACGACTAGAGCCCAATCAATGCGCAGATTGGTTGTGTAAAGTAAAGTTGGCCGCTTAATGGTGGTTGGATGCTGGAGCCCAATTGTGACTAGTGACTAGTGAGGTAAAGGTTAAAGGCAAATAAAGGATTGAGGAAAAGAAGAGGTTACCGTTGCCAATTAACTTGGAACCTAGGACAATGACATACCTTGGTGGGCATTTTGGAACATTTAGCTTGTCTTTTTGTTGACCAGTCAAAGTATAAGGTGTCACTCGAGACTCGAGGTTAACTAATGCAGAGGAGCTCATAACCTCTGTTTTCAAACTCGGACCGGACCGGCCGGTCGAACCGGGAACCGGTCAGGTAGCCGGTCCGAGTCACATTAGAAAACCGGAAATTTAAAATCCGGTCAAAGCCTGTCAAAAATCGGGTTTGACCGGAAAAAACCGGTTTTTCCGGTTCAACAGTAATTTTTTTTAAAAAAAATTCAAACTTTTTAATATTATGTTTTGACCCCCTAAATTGTTAAAACTTATTGATATATCTCAAATATTTGATACTTTATAAATAGTGTCCTAAAATTTGATGTTATTTTTCAATTAAATTCATAATTTTAATTCTAAACTTGTTAATATTTATTAAATAATATAAATTGCTACTTGATTGTTCTAATTTCTTTGTATTTTCTTGTTAAATATATTTGAAACATCAAATATATATGAATATGCCTTTATTAATATCAATATATTATTAGATATTATATATATAATATTTTAATTTTTAAATAATTTTTATTTATGACGTCATCCGGTTCGACCCCTATCGACCCCCGGTCGAACCCATTGACCCCTGACCCCTGACCTCGGCCGAGTCGCTATCCGGTCCGATTCTGAAAACATAGCTCATAACCCTTTTGGTCTTAGCATTATACGGACCCGGGACCTCAATGGTTACGGGTACTGTTTTAAAATTCGGACCGAATTGATAGATTTGACCGATTAAATAAAAGATCGATCGACTATCAATCCGAGTCATTTTTAAAAGTTGCATACCAAAAACTCAATTAAATCTGGTCATAATCGAAAACTCGATCAAACAGAGTTTGATCAGAAAACCAGTAAACCCAATTTTGTACTTTTCTTTTTGCTGTATTTTTTCCTATTGCTGATTTTTTTTCTTTTTCCCAAAATTGTCTTCATGTTTAAAGCCTTAATTTGATCCCTCCAACAATTTGATAATATGTATTGGAAATCACAAGCAAAAAGTTCTAAGAGAAAATAACAAAAAGAGGAAGAGAGAAGATAAATCTATAACTATATCTTTATTATCAACTTCTAAAGATCTAGATCTCAATGAAAAAGAAGAAAGAAAGAAATTACCAGAAGAATGAAAATAAAGGAAGAGAGAAGGAATCTTGCCTATTTGAAGAAAAGAAACAAAACAATCACAAAATGAAAAGCAAAAAAAAAAAAAAAAAAGAATGCAGACAATGAAACCCCCTGGTAATTTGGTGGTGATGCATGCTAGTGATTTGATGATGTCGTGTTTTTTCTTTTTCCTTTTTAATTTGGTGAATTTCTGTTTTCTAATAACATTGGTTGAAGTTGATTGGAAAAAGCCAAAAAAAAAAAAAAGGGGAAAACACTGTTTGAAGGTTGAAGAGAAGGAGAAGAAAGAGGCGGAAATGTTTCCGCCTGGTGCATGAGGAGGAATTAATGGGGTCAAAGTACAGGGGATAGGTGTTTAGACCTAATGAAGATTGAAGAGTAGGAAGACAAAAGATGCCTTCCATGTCTCAAATTTTTCTAATTTTGTGTTTTGACCCTTTATATTTTGAGCAATTACAATTATGCTTGCAAATTTCTTTTATAATTCTTGTGTGCAACTTTAGCTTTTGCACTTTGTACAAATAAGTCTCAATTTTGTTTAAGACTTATCATGCATGTGCATTTGAACTTTATAAACGTTACCAAATTAATTTAAAATTTGATTGTTGAATTTTTATTTAAAATTTGTATTAAGTATTTGATATTGATTTGTCGTTTTGTTCAATTTCTAACTCAATTGTGTTTTAAGAATTTGATGTGATGCAAGGACTATGAGGTAAAAATGAACCTAATTAATATATTAATTGTATTTTTTCTATATTTTTTTATTTTAAAAAATTAATATATAATTTATGACAGCATATGGTTTTTAATGCTGGTCCGACTTGATTGAATCTATTAACCCCTGACCTCTGAGTTCAACCGAGTCATTTGCTGGTCCGAATTTCAAAACATAGGCTACAAGTACCACCATAGAGGGCTTTTTGTAGCTCAAATGAGGCCAAGCTTACTTGTCCTGATCTAGGCAATGAGAAGCTTGGCGTGATTAACTTGCAATCCTACCAGTCTCTCACCCCATTATCAATACTTAGGATTACTTAGTACTATGATCAAACTTTAAAGTTTGACTGGTAATTTGGTCAAATTTCATGGAAATACATGCACAGTAGGTCTGACTTATAATTTGGCCAAATCTCAAGAAAGATGAATACACAATAGTTTTTACGTATCACTTCTTAGCTTACTCTCAGTTCCATCTTGTATTATATTGTCATATATCCTTCATAAACAACCTATTTTAACTCTTTTTTTCTTCTTTAGAATTCCAAGAACCACTGACTATGTAAAAAAAATGAAAATAGACTAAAATGCCAAATTTTAATTAAAAAATCAAATTTTTATGAGTTTTTTAGTATATATATATATATATATTTCATTTCTTTATCATATATTGGTTTTAGTTGTTGTATTTTGATCTTTTTTTTAACCGTGTTAGTCATAGTTGGAACTCAAGGACAAAAACAGGGTTAAAAAAGGATGTCTATGCAGAATACATGACATACTGCAGAAGGTTGGGACAAGAAGTGGCAAGGAGTGGAGAGAGCAGATCCATCGCACGACAAATGTAATTAGTTGTTTGATTAATGTGAATTGTAATAATACCTTTTACCATCAATGATTTAATGTTTCACCTCATAATCTCCTTATGCTTTTGAAATTATCGTCTTAACTCAAGCCCTTGTAGATAACTGATTTTTTTTTTTTGTTAAATCAAATTTAAAGAGGGTAAATATGGTATTTGGTTGATTTCATTGCTAATATATATTTTGTACATTTTTTTCTTGGATAATTTTCAAATTGGACCCTTAAATTATGGACTCTCTACAACTCTAATCCTTAAATTTTAATTTTGGATGCTTTACTCCCTAAAGTATGAAATTATCCTACTTTAGAACTTAATAATTATTCTGTATCATGACAACTAGTTTTGTCGCAAAATAGAGAAAATGGCTCCTCTCACAAAAGCACAAGGTAAAATTGCAATTTCGAAACCACAAGGGGTTGCATGGCAAAACATTAAACTACAAAGGAGTAAAATTAATTTACCTATTTTAATATTTTTAAACTAGTGGAAAAATGTATCCCTCTATAATGGAAAATCTTTTACATGCATACCATAAATCCTTGACCTTCTTCAATGTCCTTGTCTAAATTTTGAGAATAAAAAATGAGTTCTTCTTAGCATTACGCCATAATAATTTCATTTTGAAATTAATTTTACAAATCAACACCATACATGATATACCTCATAAACTATTTCAGTTTTACACAAAAGTTAAATTTGAATTAACAAAATTTTGATGTTCAATTAATTGTAAAAAAATTTCCATGATCTTAAACTCTTTTATACTGGTTTAATTGTTTCTTGCAAATTGAATGCAAAAACTTTGTCAAATGGACTTCATCTTTATTTATGCTGATCAACCAATCAAAATAAAATAATAACATAATAATATGAGTTTTAAAAACCGTATATTAGATAAATGGATGTATAACTAAAGAGAAACGAAATGGAGAGAAGCCCAATCAAGCCATCATACCTAATGAATTATACGATGGCCACCATACTACTAAATCAATGTATACTTTATAGTCAAGTAATGTCCTAATGCTTGCGAAAAGGCTGAATATGTACATAATTACTGTCCTAAGAATTATAAGTCCACTTAAAGTTCTACCATATAGGACAAATCATGTGTCATGATCAGTATGATGTGCTTATGCTGAAATCTTAGTATTTTGCACCACATGCCTGCGTTTCAGTTCAACTAAACTATTAGTTACGTGGGGATGTAATCGAACCGAGCTGCTTGTGAGCTCGGTCAAAAACTTGATTCGAACTCGAGTCAACCCAAGTTTGAGTCGAGTTCGAGCGCCTTGATAAGTTAAACGAGTCGAGTTCAAGCATCGAGAAGCAATGTTCGAAGGTTCGTCGAGCCTTATCGAGTTTTTTAATTTTAATTATTTAATATATTATTATTATAAAATTACCTTTATACCCAAAAGAGTTGTTGAATTTACGAAATGTTTCAAATCATATAAAAACTTTTAAAGGGCAATAATGTTTTTTTGCTAAAAAATTGTTAAGAAAATGAAAATTTCTAACTCGAGCTCGATAAGGCTCGCATTGACTCAAGCTCATGTGAGTCGAGCTCGAGTTTTGTGAGCAAGCATCGAGCTCGAGTGAGTATGCATGTCAGGTCAAGCTCGAGTACTCGATTACATCCCTAGTTATGTGATGGTCACCTTTAGGTATATATTTTCGTTCGGCACTAAATTTACACCAATTTATTCTAAATTTACACCTTGTACAACTCTTAAATCAGTGTATTTGGATTGCTAAATTATCTCAAATAATATTTCGCTTGCATCATAAACATATTTATTAATCCATTTTTTTATATTTCCAACTACTTTTTTATCTTACACATATCATAGTATAAAAAGTACTACAGTAATTATTTCAAATAATACTCTATCCAAACACATCCAATTTATTAATCTCAATTATAAATGCATTAAAGGTGTGGATTTAAAATAAAGTTATGTGAATACAGCTCTTTCATTTTCATTTTCGATCCAGAATTCAATACAAACAAAAAAATTGTAAGAATTAAGCCTGTTTTTAACACCAGAGGAAAAAAAGGCCAGAGCAAGGTTCTAGAACATACCTTTAGAGGGACAAGGAGGAGGGCCAGCAATAAAATTTAGTTTGGCATAGGTGGTGGAACACTTAGATGAATTTTCTTAATTTTTTTCATAGATTTTCATGAACTAAATCTAGTAACTTCGCCACAAGAGTTGGAGAGTCTAGTTTTGGTAAAAACTTGATTCATTGGTGAGAGCGAGTTTCAAGTGCATTAGAAAATGACAATCTCACAAGACAAGAGTTAAAAGTGATATTTTACTTATGTCACCTTGGTTTAGAGCAAATAGTGGATTCTATTCCCTATAACTTGTGTTTAGTTGATTCTTCCATTCTTGTGATTTTCCTTAGTTTACTTATTTTTCTTACCTTCAATTTATATTTTCTATATTTGAGGTTATTTAGATAATAGAGCAAGTGAAAAAGTCTTAGTAGTTATAAATTTGCCCCTGGTGAGATCGAAAATAGTAATACCTCCTATACTCATTAAACAAACTATATACTTGCAGAATTCAAGGTAATTAGATTATTAAATTTGGCCAATTGGATAAATGAATGGAAAACTAAAAAGAAACGTAATGGAGAGAAGCCCAACCCAGTTTTGCAAATCAAGCTATCATACCTAAGGGATTCTACGATGTCGACCACGCTATTATTTCAATATGTATTCTATAGTTAATTACAATTCCACTGCTTGCAAAAAGGCTAAATATGTAGATAATTACTGTCTTAGGAATTATAAGTCCACTTAAAATTCTACCATATATGACAAATCATGGGTGCTATGATCAGTATGATGTGCTTATGCTGAAATCTATTTTGTACTACATGCCAATGTTTTAATTCAATTAAAGTATCAGTATGATGATCTTCTTTAGGTATACATTTTCGTTCGGCACTAAATTTACTCTTTGTACAAATTCTAATATCATTCACACCAATTATAAATGTATTAAAGGTTTGGATTTAAAATAAAGTTATGCGAATATAGCCCTTTCATTTTCATTTTCGATCCAGAATTCAATAAAAAGAAAAAAAAATTGTAAGAATTAAGTCTGTTTTTAACACTAGGAAAACAAAAGATGGTCAGAGCAACACTCCAGAACATACCTTTAGTGGAACTAGGAGGAGGACCACCAGTGAAGGAATGAGGCGGTGGTGCAGGGGATGCACTATTGTAGAAGCGGTAGAGCTCATACCTAATATTACAGCTTGGAAGGAACACTCTGCCTCCCACTCTGATGGTACAACAAGTGGGCAGCCGTGCTATAGCCGCTGAGAGACAGCCTTCGCAGTCATCTGCAGATAGATCTGGTGTGCACTGTGTAAGGGTATACAACCTCCGAAAAGCGGAAAGGTTGCCTTCTTGAACAGCAGCGGAAAGGTTGCTTTCTCGAACAGCAAACTTTTTGCCCGAGGCATCACCTGCAGCCTGATGCGCGGCGTTATACAAATCTACCCTTGTAAAGGTATACCATCCTGGACCAGTGGCATTTTGTACGTTGCACATAAACGGACCAGCTGTGGAATCAACCTTGGAGAAGATTGTCTCGTTAGAAAAACGTAACAAGCACTCGTCATACCAAACAATAGCAGCCCTTTGATTCGGGCACTCTTGAAATACTCTTGTGGTGGCACTTGCTACGCATTCTTTGCAAACATCAGCGCTGAGATCGCCTCGACAGAGAAAGAGGCCATAGACCTTGTTTGAAGGGTCATTGCCAGTACTGAAATTATAGAAGCCATTGGTGTCTGTCTGAGATGCATTTGAAGATAGGGTGTCAAGCACGAAATTCAGATTGGTTCTGTAAATGATGCCGGTAGTGCTGTTAGGATTGTATGTAGTATTTCCACAGTAATACCCAAGAAAATCAACGGGGCTAGTGAGTGTGGTATGGAAGCCAATAAGCAAACAAAGCATGTAATAATGGAAGTGGAGCAACAAATTTCTGGAGATCATTTCAAAGGCAGGCATCAAAAGAATATAAGGCTAAAAATCCACAAATTACAGTTGTAACATAGGTGCCAAAGTTTTGGTTGAGGGATCATGAAAGTTGTACAGGTCACGAAAACGAGTCGTCTATAAGATGACTTTATTTTAGCAAGTCGATCAACCAAGTCGCCTGGACGTGAACCATCAGCTGAATGGTCTCTAACCAAAATTCAATACGTCAGTAATAGATTTTGACCGTTTGACAAAAAAAAAAAAAAAATTAATGGATTTTGACGGGATTGCAAATTTCAGGATGCTAAAAAATATCAATCAACGTCATTGGGGAGGATAATTGGAATTTGACTAATGCTCTATTGAGTAAAGTGGACCCAAATTGAAGAAAAAGTTCTCTATATATAGTTAAAAGGATAAATTATACGCATATATAGATTCATTGAGTGTCACATGACACCCCTAATGTTTTCAATATTCATATAAACCCTCTATGGTTTCATATAAAATAGAAATTTTACAAAAAATATCCTATGTAACACTATTAGTTGAACTACTATTATTGCCCTTACTTCAATATTAAATCGAACAACAATTAGACCATCTTGTATAAAACTATAGAAGAATTATGTGAATAAATGCAAAATTCATAGAGGATTAAAGTGGATATTCATCTAAAGTGTAGGAGCATTATGTGAATATTATTAATTCACCACGCGCATTTTTGGAGCACACCTGGTTCAATCACTATAACCATTGGTGTTTTCCATCTATTTTTCATATTACATGAAATAATAGGTGTTTATGTGGATATTTTGAAATGCAAAGGAGATCATATACTAATATAAAAATCCAAGGGGATTACATGTAATTTACCACAAAATCCCGTAAAGTCTGCCGCATTTTAATTGGATTCAAACTTTCCACTAATTTTCGTTGTCAAAAATGCCAATAAACTGTCCCACTACTTGTGTTTGCAATACATACGTGTTCACCATTTTGTCCAAGTGATTTACATTTCTTAAATTCTTCTTCTTCTTTTGGTAAAGTGGACATATCATAGTACAAGGATTAATTCAAGGGAACCCTCAAGGAAAGCAACGTCTACCCATTTATTAATGACCAATTCCGTGTTGCTTTGTTTTAAAAAATTCATCAAGTTTACGGGCCACTTTTTCAACATATTTACAAGGGTGCCTGCAGCATCAGTAAGAAGCGACCATTATGATGGTTGTTGATCTTAGTTTTTGCAAGAAACCGGTCACAATAGAGCTACTCGTGTAAATCCTCGTTTATGTTATCAGTTTTTGTGAACCATTTTAATGTTAAAATTAATTTTTTAGCATTGCTTTTTTATTTATATTATTTTTCATTCGTGTTAAGAAATTATGGTATAGGATTCATATCTCATTCAGTATTTTCCTTATCGAAATCACCCAAATTTACAACATATGTATATTTTCGGCATACACGTTCATGTTGTTCTTAAAATTCTTGCATCTAGTTTAGATATTTATTCTGTTTAGTAATTATAATATGCTGCGCTCTTCCAGGGTCTGTTAGTGTTTTAATTTCATTTATGCTCAAATTATTAAATGGAAATAATTTTTATTTTTTATATATTATTAATAATTATGAGGTCCAAAAGGGGGAAAAGAAGAATAGATTTTTAAATTAAAAAAAAAGAACTTAAAGAAAAAGGGTTTTTCGAGAATGAAAAGGAACTAATGTTCTCTTGCTCCATATTCGAACTTAAGCGATGACCAACCTAAAAATCCCCCCTATCACTACTAAGTGTCTGTTTGATAACATAAAAAAGTGCTGAAACTAAATTCATTCAGACATTCAGATGTTGTGGGTGTTTGATAAATAAAATTTCACCTGCTGAACTTATTAAGTGGTGCTGAATTTGTATGTATTTTTTTCAGCACAAGAATCGTAGCTGAATGCTTAATTTGATAAGAATCAAGAGATTTACTTCAACTACTTTATCTTATCTACCAAATATATCCATGTTTGTTAATTACATTCAAAATCCTTATCTAATTAAACAACCTAATATTCTCTATTCAAAATTCTTATCTAATTAAACAAAACAAACTGATATTCTCTATTCAAAATTTTTTTTAACAATAGTATTTTTTTGCAGTAATTTTCATCCACAAACATTTATATTTTGATATATATATATTTTTTGTGTAGATAAATATTATTTATGTGATACAGCTTATCCACACACGCGTGGCTTTATGACACCATATCGAAATATTAAATATTGGTTGTCTGATTTTCGAAATGCTTCTCGTCCAAGATCAAAAGAAGAACGCTTTAACCAAGCACATGCAAGATTGAGAAATGTAATTGAACGTGCTTTTGGAGTATTAAAAGCTCGTTTTCCCATTCTCAAAATGATGAAACCATACCCTTTTCCCACACAAAGAAACATTGTCATTGTATGCATTGCTCTTCACAATCATTGTCATTTTCATACCTAACAATTTTAAGTTAATTAAATCATAGGTTCTATTTCCTTTTTGGATTAAAAGATAGAAGGGCAAAATTGTACAATTTAGTTTATTAAGTATTAAGTTATGAATATTTATCAAACAGTATAAATAGATTCAGTATTAAGATTCAGACATTCATATATCTCTTTTCAGTGCTTAAAATTCAGCAAATTAATTATTTCAGTATTCAGAATTCAGAATTCAGATTCAGTATTATCAAACGGAGCCTAAGTAGTAGGCCATAATATATTCTTTCTTGCTGTGGATGCGAGAGAGAGGATTGGAGGAGGAGAAGAAGGACAAGGAAATCTTTGTGTAAGGTATTTCAAGTAATTTACAAATTGTTATTGTTTTACATTAGAATCTTTAAGAATACCCTATGGTACCTTATGATCATGTTCTAAAGCATATAATCCTGAAAATTTAATGATGAAAACAAGAAGAATTCATGGCTGAAGAGTCGGTTTCAATGATGAAGGTTTGACATTTTCATGATTTTGTACTTTCAAGATCGTGATCATAGTAGAAGGACCTATTAAACATATAAGATCTGGCACCTTTTATCCAATTCCCTAAGTGCACGTAATAGAAGGACCTAACTTTTAAGAAAAAGTCGATCAAATTTTCAAGCATAATGAAAGCCAAAATACTGTATCGACTGGAAAGTCAAGCTTAAAATTGAAACTCATATCCTGCTCAATGTTGATTTCGAACCAGAGTTGGCAACATCATCGATTACACTTCGGCCCACACCAAGCCCCGTCGCTAACATGAATATTTGAAATTCATTCGAGCTCTAAACAGCAACCTATCCTTTCTTGACGTGCGTCACGATAAACTATCAATAGATACCATTAGGGAACGGCTTCAAACCCTTTGCTCTATTTATCCTGAGAAATTAAGTGGACTTTGTTTTGTATGTACATCATTGGTCCCTCTTAACTAATTGTAAATAGTTCGTTAGAAAACTCATGAAGTAGCTTATTGCCTTTGAAATCATAATGGGATAGAGCAGTGGCAGTGCCAAGAATTTGTTATAGGGGGAGAGAGGGGGCGAAACTAAGCTTGAGTATAACTCATTACAAGAAGGAATAAATCAAGATTAAATGGGCAAAAAAAAATTAAAACGTTGAAATAAATTTTAGTGGTTATATTTTGATTGATTTTTAGCTCTAGGAATTTTTTCTTAGTTGAATTTCGGAAGAGTCGTAATATTTGGATAATGTTGACCATTTGAAGTACCCATAAAAATATGGACATTCTTAGATGTAGAAACTTCAAAGCTGGAGAAAGGATGAATTAGGTGGTATAGAGGAACTTACACTAACAAAATCCACAAAAATTTAAAAATAAAAAATAAAAAAGCTTCAAAGCTTCCAGGTTCAACACTTGTTTCAATAGTCCTTTTATTCAATTTTCTTGCTCCCGATGGTCACAAAATACTCAAATCTCAATAAGTTACTAAATAACCTGAAAAATCACTAGTATAATTAAGTGCAAGCTTTATGTTTCAGAAGTTCCAAAGCTGTTGCTTTTTCATCTAAAGCAACCACAAATGTTTTATTTTGATTTTCAAAAGTTTATTCTATTGACAAGATTTTTTTTTTATATTATCAATAACTGTAACCTAGTCTAAAACCATTCTTTTAGTTCTCTTAATCATTGCACTAGAACTAGTTAAATTCACTATATTCATTAACATAAAACAGAAACATTGAAGTTTATCTAATTGAAAAATAGAAGAAGTAATTGTCAATTTTATTTAATCTAAAATGACAATTTATCGGACTAATGAGGAAAGGATAATTCTAAAATTATTGTTATTATAAATGCTATCTAATTTATATAAATTAAACGCACAAAATAAAAGTTTCATCTTCGAATGAATATATAAAGAAAAACAAAAGATTTGCCCAATAGCTAAACTGAATGCTGGAACCTTGGGTAGATGAATTAATGAAACATTGCAAATAAAATTATCTTCGGACAAAATTTTATATAGAAATTTACAAGACGAAAATCAAGAAGTTACACAGGATAGGATATGGAATTTGCTTGGTTGTCTTTTTAAGGGAAAAAGAATAATTAAAAAAGAAGACAATAGGTAATGGTGGGATGGTGGGTTTTTCAATTGTTTTGACTTGGGCTTTCTGTTATACGATTGGATAACTAAATTGGTATTGGGCATTCTTATTTTTCATGGAAGTAGCTGACATGGTGGAATTTTCGGTGCCATTTGAATTTGGTTTTGGATGGGAATCAGAGTTGGACTTTCTTTGTTTTATTAGTACGAGACATATGCATAAATGTTGGGGGACAGACTTCTTGTTGTTTTAAACTTTAAGAATAATTTGTAAGTAAAATTAAAAGAAAAAGAATAATTTATAGGCACTTGCTTGGTGTCAAAAGGGCACTTGTTAACAAATCTATATTTCATCCGAAAAATTATATATAAACACACATTAATAA